GCGAGTATCGTAAACTTCACTCGAGTGTATTAATACCCATTACATCGAGTTTCATACGTACGTTTTTTACAACAACGACCGGTACATTATGACACAATGATGTTACGAGTGTATTAATACCCATCGAGTTTCATACCGTGCTTTTTTTTTATGAATTATGGTAACTTTTATACAAGTTATACTTTTATATTCAATTATTACGGGGCAGTTGTCATGCAGAATTCAGTTAAGGCCACCTAGTGCACAGCTCTACCCTACCCTGCTTTCCTTTACTACTCTGCTAGCCAAATAGGACCAAAGTCAAATGATCCAATTTATTTTAAATAATATTTCACGTACAAAATACTAGTCATAAAACAAATTAAAACTGACAAGCATAATCGAATGCAATTTCAAATTCTTTGTTACGTATTTATTTTTCATTCGGAAGCACATAGTACAGTTTATATAACTTTTTCATACGTATTGCATTTCATATGTATTGTATATGAACCACCACTCACATCTTAAAGTCGGAGCCAGAGAGTGGTGGTGTTGTGAGTGTATGTGTTCTTGATCCCATGTGATGGTTCAGTTGTTTATAATGTTCTTCAACATTCAACCATAGTAAGCCTGAAAATCGAACAATAATGTTCCATCACGTTGTTAAACAATGATTTTAATTAAGTTACCAGCACATTTAAACTATTTCCATAATAGCAAATCGTAATGTTCTCATGAAACATTGTACGACGACGTTGATGCAAGTAAGGGTGGGTTCAAATTGAGCGGGATCTCCAAACAGGCAAATCCCATGCGGCCGCGAACAGTCATTTGTGTTGCTGGACGCTCTGACCATCATGAATTGAACTGAGCGCACAACCGAACCGTCAAGGGTGAACCGATGTTTGTCTGTATACCTGTCTACCGTTCTGTTCAGGGCGAGCGGTTGTCAGTAAATGAAAGGGGGCGTAAGTTAAAGGTTCCAGAGGCTTCTTTACACTTTGCTCCGGATCTACTGCTACGATGTTCAGCCTCCATCGTCAGAGCGTTCAACTACGCAAAAGGACGGTCCGGCCAGAGGGTTTGCGCGTTAAAATCTAGCGATGAAATGGGTTACAAAAGTACGCAGTTTAGGTTCCTTACCTCGATGCCGCATTGCAACTGCAAATATTATTCTTCAGCAGATCACGGAGAGCGTGCGCCAGTCAATGCAAGCGGCGCAGGTGGTGCGTAGCTGCTTGTCCGAGGTGCAAGACGAAGTGTCGGGGCTGCATCTGTTGGACGAGCTGAGCCATCTGATGGGCGACTCACGCGAAGTGGAGCAGCTGGAGCGGCGCCTCAAGCAACTGGAACAGCGGACAGAGAGCATCCGCGTGCAGCTGGAGGACGCCGCCGGCGCCATCGAGAGACGGCTGGAAAGGCGCATGCGCGACCGAGTGGCCGCCATCTGCCGCAGAGGTGGGAGATTCCCCTCACGCACTCCCCCATTCCTCTCTCACACACGCTCTCTCACACGACGCTCTCCCACTAGACGCTTTCCCTATAAATATTCTCCCATTAGACGCTATCCCACTATACGCTCTCCCACAGACACACTCCTACTTGACGCTCTCTCGCTACGCGTCTCTCATCAGACAACCTCATATATCGAGTCATTTTTTATTTAAAGTTAATAAAATATGTAACATTCATTGAACACTTACTGATGCATAAAACTATTATATTTTCATCTCAAATAATTCGAAAAAAGTACATAATAATTGATATATGATGAATGTTAGTTTGAGAATGTGTCTGTGTAGAGTGCACTAATAAATTATTTTCAATATTTGCAAACAAAGAATGTGATATGCACACTCATTTTTTGTTCCCTTTTCCACATTCCCGGAATGCATTGTGATCCAAAGGATGTAGCCGAATAAGGGGGTGCAATGTGCCCCCAAACGAAATCGATAATCGAGATATTCATATGAAAGAGAATACAAGTCGTATATTCCGAAAATTCAGTCTCCCAGGAAAGTCTGTTGCAGCGATGCAATTTGTGTTTTTCCTCAGTTTCTATTGCACATACCCAGCTGAAAATTTAGAGATATGGAGAAAAATAATTAAATTTGATGGCATTTTTGTCAACTAATATTTGCACCAAATTCAAATAGAAAAAAATAAATAAATTTTTGAAATTAATTTTTGACGTGGTAACAGTAGTGTTTTTTTTCTACAATGTCTCATAATATCCTATAACATATTTTTAAATTTTAAACAATGTAGACGACAGTGAAAACATTTAAAACCAATTTCATCTCTATAAACAATGGATATTTGTGCCAAAATGTGATTGGAAAAACTGTTTTTACCATTATTTAATCACAGGTTCAATCACGACGTATCAATTCGAAATTTTATAGGTATTACATTGATTATGTACCTAATTCAATCGGAATATACAAGGCGGAAAGAGACGGGTGGGCATATCGTATCCGACTTCAGCCAACGCGGTAGAGACACCAGTTTGCACCATAATATTACCGGGGATTTTAAATGCCAAAATTCTCACAGGTAAAAGTCACTGAAACGGAAAAAATAACTATTTTTAAAAAAAATATTGCATTTTTATTTCAATAACATCTTAATCATGTTAATTGTGGTAGGTCACTCTTGAAATTTGTCACATTATGCCACTTTCAAAATGTTTCTCAACACTTCTCGCTCTCCATGGAAAATGGCGGCCTTCATCTGGTCTGGCATTTCAAATGAAGTGCCCGTGTTGTAGTTATGTGGTTCGGATCGCAAACTGGAGCTGCACTGAACGATCCATGCACCGGAGGAACGATATTATTGTGAACGTGCGAACGGAAGTCGCACCCTGCTATGCTGCTCTCAAATAGATGCGATATTTTTTTAAAAAATTTGACACACGCTCGTTCCTTGAAAAAATTGTTAAACCGTTAAACAAAATTATTATGCTGTTTATGAATGAACGCGTAATTCCAGTTAAAGAATAAGACTGTGTCAATGATTAATTGCCTGTAATTGTCAATGATTCGTAAACATACATTTTAGTAATTTGATTTATATTATAAACATGAATAATTAACGTACCTAAAACCGTGTAATTTGATTTAAATTAGAAGCAATACATAAATCTAAAACGAAAGGGGTTTGATGATTTTATTTCGATAATATAAATACTTTCCACATAGAAAGCAACATGTGCCTGCAAAAATTGTAAATCATGATGATTAGTGAGATTTTATAATAAGTTAAATGTAAATTGTTTAAACATTGGTGAAAAAAATTTCTAATCCATTTTGGCGCATATTTAAAATTTTTATACTGCTAAAATTGTTTTACACATTGTTTAAAAATTTGGAATATAATATGTTATAGAATTTTAACAAACACATTCTAGGATAGAGTACTCCATCGTTTTAATTAATTTTAATTAAAAAAAAAATTAAATTAATTTAAAAAAAATTCTATTTGAATTTGGGGCCAAAATTGATTGACAAAAATGCCTTCGAATTTAACTTCCTTTCTCCACCTCTACAATTTCATTCTGTCTGATACATGCAATAGAAGATTAGAAATAATAAAACATGGAAAACACATTTCTCATTGTACCTCTGCGACAGATTGCTCTAGGAGTCTGATGTTTTGGGAATCTACATTTTGTATTCTCTTTCATATGAGCATCGCGATTATGGAACACTTTTTCGTCCCCTTCTTGGTAAAATATCTCCTTTCTGGGATAAATTTTACATTTTGTCAGTTTTCTCTCTTGCAACGTCTGTTCCTTGTTTTAGTTCTGAATGCAAATATTGATCTAATTTAGGTATCAGCCTTCAAGGCAATCCTGTTGCTACTGACCGCAGAATATACGACGCAAACCTCCGTCTGCAGTTCTTGTGTCTGGCGATTTCGCTAAATTGATTGATTATTTAGTAATTCCGGGAGCGTCAACGGCTAACGTCGTTAGTCCCGTAAGTGTGGTGCATGTATCGTCAATGTGATCGCCCGCTGGATAGTAAGGCATCCGGCGGCCACCCACGTCGGCATGCGGCAATTTTCTCCCGCCAGGTATCTCCAACCAGCGTTGCACCGCCCCACCCGGAACTATATCTAAATCCCCGATCGGTCTCCGGCAAAGTGTGGTAGTGTAGTGCGAGTGAGAGTCGTGTTTCGTTTGGCTTTGTCCGTCCGACGTCGGCCGACCAAAATTTCGGACAAACTCGGCTCGACGCCTAAAATAGAGCTTTTTGGTTCGATTAATTTTAAATAACAAAACACAATAAAATTATTTTTATTTTAAAACTAAACAGAAATAATAGGATTTAACCCAACATGAGCCCACATCTCCCGGTCCGCCTCACTTCATTGCCGACAAGCGGGTGTTAACGGGCCGGTTTTCAGCGGCACGGATGCTATCGGCCGACCGTTGTGCCACGCGTTCATTCAGAACTGGAGCTTCACTACATCACTTGCCTACAGCTCTGTATCGCTTGCCCACACTCCAGACTATGTGCCGACTTAGGTGGCTCAGGGCATCAATTGAATCGTTCATTTCAGAAACCCCTCAAACGCCAAAACCTAAACCACGCATTAGCGGCGGGTTATTGTTCCAAGAGGATAGACACATCGTTTAGTGCATATTTATAAGAAAAATATTCATTTATCAACTGCTTTAATATATAAAAATATTTTGAAAACATAAATTGGGAGACTTTTTCTCAGTTTTCTCGAAATGAGGAATTTGGCGTTTGACGGGTTTCATAAATAAACGATTCATGACGTCACTGCTGTGTCTATGATCAGGCGATCCTAGGATTCGAGTCCTCACGGTGGCAGGAGTTTCGACACAAGGTTGATAGTTCGAATCCAGCCGTTGTCTGAGGGATAATTCTAGCGGCCGGCTGCTCTGATCGGTAGTTTTTCGTGGTTTCTCCTATCACCAGGCGAATGCCGGAGAAGTACCAAACAAACGGGCCATGGATCGCGCGCGATCATTCCATCCCCTTCCTTGTCCTACCTTCTCCCGTTACTTACACACCCACGTGCATGTACTACACTACCACACATGCCGGGAGATCATTCGGGAACGTAAAGATTATCCCAGTTGGGGCAGTGCCCCGCTGGTAGGAGACACCTGTTTGAAAAAACTCCGATCTGATCTCCCCACCCAGAGGGAGATCACCGCCCCCCCCCCCGCGATAAAACATGGATTACACATACGGGACTAATTACCTTAGCAGTTGAAGCGCCCGGAATCCCCATTAATCAGCCCCTTACAACAATGGCAACAAGTAGCGCGCTCCCCTACAACAATCCCCAACAAGTTATTGTTTAGTGATTAAAATGTATTTGTTGAGATAAATTGCAAAACATATACAAAATGCAAAAAATTTACCAGATGAATCAGCATTCGCGACATTTCGTGTGCTGCTTCCCCACATGCTGATTCCCAGGTGCAGTGACGTTTCTCTTTGTGTGCAGGGCGGAAAGCGGGTGAGCGAGACGCAAGATGGGCTCGTTTCTCCAACTACAGCACTTGTCAATCGCCTGCCAATCCCTCTGCAGCCGAC